TGGTTCTGGGTATCTTCTTCACCACCATAATTTGATACCAGAAGCTTTGGAAAAATTTTCTTTCCAGATCCTCAACACGATATCTGTATCTGTCACCAAGTTTCCTTCTTCATCTCTACATGAGGATGTGTCTGCACCAAAGCCTTCGTTTTGGTGTTTTACATCTTGGTAAAATTTCCGGACTTCATTCTGACTCCTGTAACTCCCGATTTGCTTAGGCTCACGTTTTTCTTGTTCTTTTTTTGGAAATACGCTTCTTCACTCTTCTTTTATCACGATAATTTTCTATTTGTTGCATTTTTTACCTCCTATCGTACCATGGGTTTCTCGAAGGTGCTCTTTGGTACTCAAGTGTTGCTTTTGCTGTAGTTTGTAGGGAGTGGGCAGTTTTTTGTCGTTGTGCTTCTATATTTCGGGACAACGAGTGCAAACAGTTGGGTAAGTTGAGCGTAGTAGGCTACTGTTATCTGTTGGGTTTGCAGCTTGTCGACTTCGAGTTTCCGTATAGTAATAGATCGCACCTTTGCTGCTACAAAAGACGCGCGCAAACCTCGGCTGCTACAAGGTAATGGTCCGAATCGATATTCGCTTCTCGTATCGATCGAACGTCTAAAATGCTGGATGAATGCCTTCCGTCTAACAAAAAAAGATCAATTAGATTTTTCGTTGTTTGATCGGGAGATAGTCAGGCGGCCTTGTTATCGAAATGCTTGAATCTGTTGCTACTAACTACAATGTTTTTCCTGTCGCGAATTGAATTAACCTAATTCCGTTGTCGGATGTTTCTACATGGAGGCTGAATATTCCATTATTATTGTTAATGTCTTGGCCAGGGCAGCGGTCCTATGCTTTTTCTATGCGCTCGTAAAAAATGTCTTTGGTCTGTTCATCTTTGTCTTCCGTCGGACTGATGTAGAAGAACTTCGCTTTCATACGGATTATAGCAATTCGCTCCTCTACTGGGGTGAATCTGGAGACGAGGTCTTTTATTCTCTTGTTAACCATAAATCCGCAGCCAAATCCATGATTGTTTCATGTCAGCTATAATACAGTGCATAATTGTCTGATTTACTTACCCCTGTCCCTTACCATCACATTTCCTGTAAGGCAATAATATTGGCATTGCACTTCTTGAGTATATCCGCCAAAGCGAAAACTACGCCTGTTCTGTTCCACGTGCGCACATTCCAAGTGCAGATTCGCTGATCGTGGTCCTTTATACGTTTGCGGGGTTCGTCAACATTGGGGAGGTTTGCTTTTCGTTGCTTTCTCACGGTAGGTGGGGTTTTCGGAGTGTGGGCAACTAATCCTACTCCTCAACCCATTTCTTATAGTTCTTATGGGTGAAATCGCGTTATATATTTTACTTATAGTTTACTATTTCAGTTACCCCAGGTGGTACAGCGGGGAGGTCAGCGTCCACAATTGAGATGAGAAAGGGACCAATATAAGCCTATGCTTTGCCATGTTAATGCCAATGAGAGCCGCTGCTTGGTAGCTATCACCCCTACATCACTCGATTAGTTGCAAACGGAATGACAAAATTAATATACCCTCCATGTTATTCTGGAGAGAATAAAATTGTGTTATTAAATATAATTTCTAAATACCCATTTAATGGTAAACTTATGTTAAATACATAATTAACCACACACAAAAGAACATTAATCGAAATCAAAAAGAAATTTCCAACAAATGTTGAAAACTACAGAATGCGCTCTGCAATTCGAAAACCATCAGTGCAGTATTCCCACACAAATGAATGACGGACATTAATGGACATTTCCAAACCAAAATGTGCAATTAATTTGTTTTGCACAAAATAGGGAGATGGTTATCATTATCATTTGTTGAACAAATCCAGTACGAACTCATCCCACACAATGCACAATTCACAAATTGATTCAAATGGCTGAAAGGAGACTGATTTTGGAATGACGAGTTTTGTTGAAAAAGTATTTAATATTTTTTGGGGGGTAACTGTGGCGGATTATCTAATGTTTCGTTGCGCCATGTTGGCATTAAGCTGGCCACGTTGAATAATGAGATCAGAATTTTCAGGTTTTCTGTCATTCGTAAAAAAAATCGACTTCGAACCCGAATAACTTAATATTTAACAATCGTGTAGAACATTATTCTGAGATTTTAAAATAAATCATACTTCTTGTGACCCTATTAATGTGACATCCTCCCACATAAGCCAAAAGTTTTTCAAATGACAATCTAGAAAAATGGCAGCAAATTCAAAAAGCAAATAGTTAGCAAAACCATTACTGCAACAGCAGATAACATTCCATAGGATATACGTATTCAACTATCCCCGCATAGATTGAAATAAACGTCATAATAAATATTTTTGCTTCTACGATTTTTTTATTCGACTATCATTCGGTATCAACAGGTGCTGCCGCTGCTCCATTTTATTGCAGCACAGACTGTTTTCCGCATAAATTAAAAATACTTTGCTTATGGTCTACAGAGCCCATCTGGTCATTTGCTAATATATATCCCCGTAGGATGTGCTCAGCAATCTAAGGTCATGGCTGTTGCACTACAAAAGAAAGCAAAATAGTTATTGTGAATATTAATTAGCAATGGATGTCATAGAACAAATGCAAAAAAAATATGACATTTTTTACTCTTGTTAATTTTGTAGTTGGAGAAAATATTACTTAATTAGTATTGAGACAAAAAACAATATATTAATCGTATGGGCATACGCTACTCGACGGTATGATATGGGAAACTTAATTGTAAACAAGAAAAAATGTAATGTTCGGACAGACTTGACTTTCAATAAGAAGATTTCAAATTTTAGCCATTTTTGTTAAAAAACGTACCAAAAATACCGAATAATCCATGTTTATTTGTGGATTTTGAATAAGGTCTATATCTAAAGAGAGCCGATACTGATTATTTGCGATATACACCTAATGAGAATCCCAACAATTATTAAAAACCAGTAATGAAAGCAGTAAAGTCGGACTGGGCCGACTATATGATACCCTTCACCACTTTGGATATATTCTACATATGTATTTAAAGCAAACTTGACACACGCTATTCGGCATGCTGCCCTTTTTAAAATTTAATATCAATCAGGCACCCATTGATTATTTGGTGTACAATTAACATGAATAAGTCGAAATTATATATGGAAGCTATTTTATATCTATATCTCAACCGATTTCAAGGAAACTTGTCAGAGATTAATTTATATTAACTTCAGTACGTTTTGTCAATCACCCTAGCTATGGATTTTTAGTGCATGATTAACTCAAAATTGGACGAAAATATATATAGGAGATGTACACATCATTTTAGACTTAGTTCAGTACGCTATACCAAAATTCGTGCAAATCAAAAGATTTGCAGGACTTTGGTGCACCATTTACCTGAATTCGGGCGAAACTATATAGGGGAGCTATATCTAAGTCTGAACCGATTTTCACGAAACTTAGCACACGTCATGCTAGACTCAATTCAGTACGCTCTGCAATATTTCGTGCAAATCGAAGCATATTTAGGGACTTTGGTGCACCAATTACCCTAAATCGGACGAAAATATATATGGGAGCTATATCTAAATCTGAACCAATTTTAACGAAAATTAGCGAACATGATTCTAGGCTTAATTCAAAAAGGCTATGTCAAATTTCGTGCAAATCGAATGATTTTCAGGGACTTTGGTGCACCATTTACCAAAAATCGGGCGAAACTATATATGGGAGCTATATCTAAATCTGAACCGATTTTCACGAAACTTAGCACACGCCATTCTAGACTTAATTTAGTGTGCTATGCCAAAATTCGTGCAAATCTAATGGTTTTCAGGGACTTTGCTGCACCATTTACCTAAAATCGGGCGATACTATATATGGGAGCTATATATAAATCTGAACCGATTTTCACGAAAATTAGCATACATCATTGTAGACGGAATTCAGTACGCTATGCCAAAATTCGTGCAAATCGAATGGTTTTCAGGGACTTTGGTGCACCATTAACCTAAAATCGGACGAAAATATATATGGAAGCTATATCTAAATCCGAACCGATTTTCTCCAATAATATCCTGTACCACAGTGTGGTGAAGGGTATAAACATGCCCAAAATACCGAAATTTAGGAGGCAAAGAGACCAATATGGATCACTTTTCGTAAGTGAATCCAAAATATTAAATTATTCAATTCGGTTTGTGGGGGAGTATTAGAAGGAGTGGAACTAAATATTGCAAATGTTGACCCTTTGTAGGAGAGCTACCAGAAGAAGTGGACCAATGGTTCTATCTTCTGACTTGATCTAGGTTTGGTAAACATAATATAATGTGGAAATTTTGATTCAAATCAGATAGTCCGTTCGCATGATATTATAAAATTAATTGTTCGCAACGTTTTTTTTACCATATTGTGGAGGAGGTACCAGATGGAGCGGATCTATATTCCCCTAGATCCAACTTAAACTAGGTTTCGAAGAAATATTACGATGCGCAAAGTTTAGAAAAATCGGTTACTCGGTTATAGACGAGCAGACGGACGGACACTTGTAAATCGACTCCAAATTGCATGAAAGGGGTTTGGTCTGAAGAAACATGGGGTCTAATCAAATATTTCTATGAGGCACAAAAGTTTATTTTTCATTACTACTTTTTCCTATTCGTGGAGGACATCTAATATTCGGCCTAGCAGATTAATATTTATTAAGCACACAAGCAGACACTGTTTGTGTCTCCCTTCATTTCCGTTAAAAAATCACTACTACTTATTTTAATGATTTGTTTTTTTTTTCTAATTGTCTGTCATCATGTCCACCTACCATAGGATAATAATAAAGAATGTCATTCAAAGAAAACAACACAGAACAGACAAAGCGAATTATTAACATTTGAATAAATTCACTACTCATTTGTAAGACATTTGTATATTAAAATTCACCATTCACCCACCTTCTAACCTTTTAATAAATATCTTCTTCTGCCTTTTCTTTGTTCTTCTTTGCAGGTGCTTCGTTGGATCGCCGCAGCGGTAAATTAATTGAATCGAAAATGAAAGTGCTTTACGAGCAAATGCCAGTGATTTACATTTATGCTATTAATACCACGGCCGGAAAGGATCCCAAGCTGTACGAGTGTCCGATTTATCGTAAACCACAACGCACAGACTTGAAATATGTTGGTTCCATAGATTTCGAAACGGATTTTAATCCGAAACATTGGACGCTGCGTGGCGTAGCCTTACTATGTGATATTAAGTGAAAGATTTATTTTAGGGATGCAAAAGGATATAGTTTTATTGTATATGTGTGTGGTGTGCTATTATAGCCGGAGAGTGTTTGATTTGCTAGCAGCTAAAAATAAAACATATTACCGTATTTCCTAATAACCACAATATTAGAGATTCTAAAAACGTTTATTAGAGATTTTAAATTGCCTTGAGAATATAGCGTTTAGCTCCTTAGAAAACAAAGCACAATATGCTTCGTAGACCTATCAGCACATGATAATCGCATTTGAGCGATAAACATTATTTAGTGAAGATGTATATATACATATATGCTATATTATGGATGGAAAAATTGGTAATTGACAAGACAATATATTGAAGGGAATTTGTGGTTAACAGTTTATATATTTGACAGTTTGACAAACTTGTTGGTGACCACGAAATAATACTGACAACCCAATATGGAGAGTACAACTGGGCAAAGGCATAAATGAGCGATATTGATTCACATTTTGGAACAAAGTCATATACATATACTCCGATCGGATGTAATTTAGCATTTGATCGAAAACATATTTGTAAAACTGTCCACCTTTAGATATATATTCATCTAATTTGATATATTTCCATACATCAGTGTCATCCGGCGTATCGCATATTGCGCCTAGAAGAACGTTTTTATGTTTTGTTCAAATCGGTTTAGAAGCCGCCATGCGACTAAAGTGAACTGAGTTTTATTCAAATCGGTTCAAATTTAGTTATAGCTCCTGTCAATATTGCATTGAATCGATTCAAATTTATATATAGCTTTCATATATAATTTCGTCCAATTTAATATAAATGGTGAAAAATACTCTTCGTCTTCCCTAGAAACTAAACCAGTGAGCGGAGCAGTATAATCGGACGGGGCCGACCATACGACCCCTGGTTCTATATTCTGAGATTGGGCAATATTTCGCGATATTTGCACACTTTTGACTGGCTAGTGGTCTGCAAATGTTACTAATAATCAGTACAGCCCCTCTACATATTTGTCCAGATACCCTTCACCGTGGGTTGTGTTGTAATGTTCGGCTTTCGATTCGAAAAATACAAATAATTAAGTTTTCGGTCCACTTCATCCGAAAAATTATTATCTGATCATCACCTAACATTTTAGGCGTTCCGCGCTATATTTCCGCCCTCCAGTTTGGTAATAGGTTATTAAATAATATCTGAATACGTAAGCACCTGTAAATATTTAAGTGTAACTCCCGCATCCGAGTACCTACGACAATATAATTGGTATCAATTAAAAGATCAACCACTCCTCTTGGATATACTATCAACTTCTCGGGTCTACGTCCTTCAGTGTAAATATATACGCTATAGAATACAAATGTTGTCATTTTTCACACAAAAGTTAGGGTCCGTTTGACCCGCTAAATATTGACCGATCTTTATCAAAACAGGCATGTTTATTCTCTGGCCCGATCCGCTTCTCCATGCAAAAAATCGCGGTGTTTGGGCCATAATTGTGGCCTCTGGAGGGGGTCTTCATTGGCCAGAACCCATCCTACATACAAAATTTCGTGAAGATTGATCCATAACTGTGGCCTGTATCGTGTTTACAAATTATAATGGACAGAGGGACGGACGGACACACATGTCTAGATCGACTCATCTAGTCAAGATATGACGATCGGTATACTTAAAGGTGGGTCTAGGACCAATATTTCACGGCATTACAAACTCTTGGGGCTGCACAAAGCTATAATACCCTGACAACATAGTTGTGTAGGGTATAAAAAATTTCCTATAACTTCGATTTTTGTATAAATAGGTGTTTAAATCAATACATGTTATATAATTTATAGTGAGATGCTAAGATAAGAATTTTAGACCACCTCTTGAATACATCCAAAGCGGTGTAGGGTTTCATATAATCGACTCATCCGATTATTTTTTTTAGTTATATGTTTGAATCTTTGAGAAATATTGGCGACGAATATCATATTTCATTACTCTGCCTTCGTATTCAAACTTTTGGTATCCAACATAAGTGATAGACTGGTCTGACTGAACTAGTTTGTTAGCGAATTAAACAACTCGATGCAGTAGTCGTAATCAAAGGTGTTCTGCTTTAATGAAGAAACATCTGAAAACTATTGGCAGTTGTGAATAGAGTCTGAATAACAAAGATAGAAAATAATTAAATACAGGACTAGAGATAAGGACGATTGAATGTTAAAATATGTTTGAAATGAGTGTATCTTATATATTTAAATAATGTAGTTGTTAAAAAAGTTTAAATAAACGTAGTGACAGTAGCGTAAACAACCTGTGCATTAAGTTTAATTCTATAACCGTTTAATGGTAAGTATATTTCCATAAATCGATATATTGAAAAGAAGAAATTCATGTTTTACATTAATACATTTGAATTGCAAAAGTAAAAATTAAAGAAATGTAAAAAATGTGAACTTGAAATTATAACAAATGAATAATTTCGAAAGTTTATTTAAAAATCGTTTTCAAATGATATTTGTGAAATACTCAAATTACTCATGTAATTCTTTGCCCCACAATGGTCAATGGTAAAAATAACAGAATGTATTCGAATGTAAACCTTTCATTATTTTAAAACTAAGATCGCACTCGATGCAATGATATCATCCCGTTTGCAACAGCTCGATATATTTGGCCATGATGGACTTTGGATACCCCCCACCATAGGTATACTGACAGGTACTTGAAATGAAAATATATTGAACATATCAAACAGTGGACCTATTTGTTTTTTTAATGGAGATTTTTCCTAAAAAACCCCAAAAATGGCCCGGTATTGAAGGCGCCTGGTAAGGTGGAACATCCCCTAAATTCTGTAATTTTGAGGGCACATCTATATAAGGCCATCGCCACCGTATACAGGTTTTATTTCGGGGGATTGGGTGGAAGCTGCTGTTTCAATGTGAAAATTGACATTGCCGGAGAAACATTTGTATGTGTATGTTTCCTGAGGCTATAACTACATCGTGTAGAAATTAACGAACATTCACCACTCTGTGGTACAGGGTATTATGTCTTTATGCATATGTTTGTAACAGGCAAAAGGAAACGAGATAGACCCATGGTTCCTTTTGATAATATGCATAGAATCACTTTTTAAGTCGATTTAAGTATATCCGTCCGTCCGTCTGTCTGTCTGTCCACGTATTTTTGTGAGCAAAGTACAGGTCGCATTTATGATCCGAATTGGATGAAATTTGGCACAGCTCATTTGTTCATTTTGAAAAATCGGTCCAGATTTAGATATAGCTCCCATACATAGTTTCATCAAATTTCATGTAAATGGTGCATCAAAACCCCTATATATCTTTCGATTTGCACGAAATTTGGAATAACGTACTGAATTGAGCATAGAGTGATGTCTGCCAAGTTTCGTGAAAATCGGTCCCGATTTAGATATAGCTCACATATATATAGTTTCGTCCGATTTCATGTAAATGGTGCACCAAAGTCCCTATATATCTTTCGATTTGCACGAAATTTGGCATAACGTACTGAATTTAGCCTAGAATGATGTCTGGTATGTTTCGTGAAAATCGGTCCCGATTTAGATATAACTCCCATATACAGTTTCGTCCGATTTCATGTAAATGCTGCACCAAAGTCCCATATATCTTTCGATTTGCATGAAATTTGCCATAACGTACTTAATTGATGCTGGAATGATGTGTGCTGAGTTTCGTGAAAATCGATTCAGATCTATATATATATATATATATATATATTCGTCCGATTTAATCTAAATAATGTACCAAGTTCTTATGTTGCATAGCGTTTTCGGTTTAATCCAAGTAATGTATGCCAAGTTTAGTGAAAATCGGTTGAGATTTAGATTTATGTAACTCCCTTATATTATGGATTGATTTTAAGTAATTGACGCACCATGGAACCAATATATGGCTGATAGAAACAAAACGTACTGAAATTAGTATAACCTAACCTGTGACAAGTTTCGTTGAAATCGGTTCATATTTGGATATAGCATCCATATATAATAAATTGCACATCAAACTCCTCATATTTGTTAGATTGACATCAAATTTTGCACAACGTACACAATTGAGCATAGAATAACGTAGTTGGGTTTTCTAGAAGTAAATACCTAGCCCAACGGATGACCTATTGATAGTTGTTTGAAGTCGATTCCATTGTAACAAACGAATGGCATGTTTATGGATAGGTCTAGGTCGTTTCACATTTAGATAAATATCACATATTTTATTTCATACAATTTCATGATAATAGTCCTGTTTAATATACCCATAGTGGTGAAGGGTATCATATAGTCGGCCCCGTCCGACTTTACTACTTTCCTTACTGTTTTTTTTTTTTTGTTTCAAAACTATTGTTTGTCTGTGTGTAGGAAGAAAATATTGACATTTTTAAAATATTTTTTAGAATTACATCTTTATGAAAACGATACACGACAGCAGGACGAATATAATGACAGCCAACTCGAGGGAATGTTGTATTTTGCCTTTATTTCGAATTTTTATTTTCATAAATGTAAACAAATTTGACAATAATCAATTTATTTTCTACAGCAACAGCAACGTACACAGGATTTCATTTCGGGGGGTGCCCGGTAGTACAAAATGAAAAAATTCGCTATTGCAAACATAAATTTACTGTGGGGGCCCCCTGCGTACGTCCCTGTACAGCAATGCCATATTGAAATTGCTTAATTCAGTATAAATTCAGTTTGATTTTGTGCATTTACAGCACATAAAAATGAGGATAATGTACAAATTAATTTGAATTAAGGCTGTTAATGCAAATTAGGGCTGTCGTCTGACTAGGTTATTAGAACCAACCCCTAAACGAGGAACAAATCACGGTCTATAACTAAGGGTGATCAATATTGATTACATAGTGAAGGAATTATAACTCAATTTCGAACCTAACATTTTCGTTTTGTATCTTAATACATTCCTTCACCCTAAATAGTAATGGGTCGATTACGGATGGCAACCATAGTTTAGTTGCGTTCCCAAATTTGCATTATGGATGGCAACTGTT